TAAGAATAATCTTTAACTGATTATTCTTATCAATTGTTGAAATCAATCTTTATAAATTTATGGAAAAGTTTTTTGCTGAAACGATTTCTAACAATTTAACTATGGCAAATTAAATATAAATTGTGCAAACTGTTAAACTTTTATCAGTTCAAAAAAACAATTATAGTATTTTTAAACTATTACGCATTTAATGAAATTATAAAGGCCATAGAAAATATAATATTAAATAACATAAATATGCGAGTCTCGGCAGAAAATTTTTCTATTGAAATTAGATCTGCATAATTTATTCAAAACGGATTTTTTAAACTAATCAAAAATCCTCTCATTAACTTGCCAATTCGTTTTTGCCATATACTTTTTCTCATAAATTTAATTCTCATTTTTTTGTGCGATTAGTAGTTTTCTTCGAAAAAATTTGCTGTGCGATAAATCTTAAAAATTTTTGCTACTTTTGAACCATTGTAATTATTGCAACATGAAATCGTTAATTTTTTTAAAGAAGAATGCCTCAAGTTTTTCCTTAAAATTCTTAACATTTATCAGTGTTAGTTATTTCATTTGTATCATTTGTTTTTTAGACGATTTAAAAAGCTTTATGAATTAGCTTTTATGAATAATATTGGACAAACGCTATTTATTTAGCTAAATGATTTTTTAATTATCGTAAATTATGGTTCAGTACGATAAGCTTATGGATTAGCAATAGTTTAATTTGAGATTTCTGAGATAAGCCGGAAAATTGTCCAACGAATTTTTACATCAATAATTTAAAAAATATTAGCAAAATGTCAAAAATTTTTTCCCAAAGATATTTTCATTTCAAAACGAATTTCCTACAAATGAGAATTTCTCAACTGTATTACATATTTCTTTTGGATTCTTTGTAAATTTTTAAATACTTCGCTTTAGAAAAAAATGGCTGAAATTTTTATGCCATTTCAACTTTTATGAAATAGTGATCGATCGATTGTGAATAATATTTTCTTTTATATAATTCATATAATTCAGCAATTCCTACTGATATTATTACTACATTATTAAAGTATTTGAGATTCCATACTTTTTTTTTAATAAATATATGCGCTAATATAATTTATTCATTGTAATCCGACATCGGAAATGAAGTCAAGAAAAAAAGATTTAATGTGAAAATTATACCATAAACAGCAATTATGGCCATAATATCGATGAATATTAGGCGAAAAAAAAGACGAATTTCCGAAGCGTTTTGACAAAGACATGATAATTTTAACAGGCTGATCATATTAACCTTCTCAAGGTTATTTTGACCCAAAAAAATACTTTTAATTTTGATTGATAATTTTTCATTCAATCGGTCATGAACAAATATGATCGGCGCGTTTTCACTACCATCCGACAAAATAACCGTAAAAAATTCTATGTATTTTATTTCATTCATCTATTATTTATTTTTTAAACTGAAATATTTACTTATTTTTATTGCAAATTATCCATAATAAATCCACATGATTCTATTAAAAAAATTTTTCAAATGATTATTTCCCACTAATATTTGTATGCAAATAATCATTGTATAATGCAATATTATGCATTCTATTCGCCATTTCTATGATTAGTTGCTTCGTTAAATTAATGATTACCATTCTGCATTTATTATCATTCTTTGATCCGCGACCGTGCACTTGGATGAGAGCCACTTGGGAATGGAGACACGGGTGGCTACCCAATATCCATTGGAGCCTATTTTTGCCGGCAAAAGATCAAAGCCAATGCTTTGAAATGATTAAAATCTCAAGCAACACACATCACTTATATGGATTATTTATTATAGGTTCTATTAATTAAATATAATAAGATTCTATCGTCTTAGGTTGAATTTAATTTGAATTCTAACAATTCGATCTAAAAAAAATTATCATTTTGCAAATTAATTCAATTTTTGCAAAAAAAATTAAAATAAATGAATCGTTATTATCGAAGACAATTGGTTTTTTTTAATTCTTAAAATAAAATTAAGCAAAAAAATTAAAATTTTATTGAAATTTTACAGATATAAATGATATTAAATGATCTAAGATCAATTTTTTAGTGATAGAAAAAAATTTTGTTGATTTATATTCTCAGAAATTTATTTTAAGAAAATCCTGTCTCCGTTATCACTCAAAATTTTCAAATTTTTTTGAGAAATCGAAAATTGAAAACTGTTAAATAAAAATATATTCTTCTATATTTTAATTGAAAAAAATAAATTTATCGCGGATGATTTTTTTTTAATTTACGAGTCTTTTAAAGTTTACATTTTAATTTTATTTTCACATTTTAATCATTTTTAATTCAAAATTTTTAAGGCTCCTAAAATAAATTATATAAATAAGAAAATCAAAAAAATAATAAAATTGATAAATTAAATCAATAATATTAATTAATTAATAAATTAGTTTTAACGATGGCTTTATCGATTTCCTTTTTTTATTTCTCTTCAAATTTTCACTTTTACAGAATTTACTTTGAATGAAATTTATTTAATCAATCAAATTTTATTTTATTTCATTTTTTTAAAATTTCCTTTAATTAAATTTTAATTTCAGTTTTCTTCGATATAAAAGTAGAAATAACTGTGCTTTTATCAAGTTTTAGATGATAATTTATACCATAACATCGGTTAATTCCATCGGAGATTAAGCGATAGTTGAATTCTTATCAGTTATTTAAATATTTTCTTGGTGATAATTAAAAGATAACAAATTCTATTTGGAATGTGGATAAATAAAATGTTCAAATTATACCAAATAAATAGATTAATCTCAAAGGAAGTCGCAAAGTTTGCGCTTATCTTACATTTCGATTTTTTTGTCATTTGAAACATTTTAAATATTCATTATAACTGTGTTTTAAAGTATTATAATATCTGTTTATTTCAAGAGAAACAAGAAAATCTAAAAATAATCGCACAAAAATTTTTTCCTTTACATTAAAAATGTTGAATGTGAAGAATATTCGTTGTTGTTAGCGATTTGCTTGGTGTAATTATTGAAAATTAACAGCTGAAATTTATTTAACAAAACGATTGTTGATATGAAAGAATATATAAAATTTGAATTTGAATTTTAACAGATTTTTCTAGCCATTTCACTTGAAAAACTTTAATTTTTGGAAAAAAATTTTTTGAGATTTAGCGGTATTAAATTTATAACGAAGAATTTCATATTAAGTGTAAAGAATGCAGATTTTCAGAATTTCCTGAACGTATTTGTATTTCATTCTCGCATATCGTTTTAATCATATCAAAATCATAGCAAAACGGGTTTAAAAGTACATTGCCACTACTTAAATCACTATGAGTTCATTAGCAACATCTTCATGTTCCAGTGGATCCGAAACGTTATCTCGGAATTTAAAAAATAACCAAAAACCAAGTGCATTTGGTACTATTTTAACGGTGAGCTGTTTTTTTCATTGTTGTTATTTTTCTTTTCGTTTTATACTATGGTTCATAATATTTCGATTGGTGCACAGTACCTTTAACGGTTTTTTAAAATGTTGTTATCAAGTTGAACACATTCATAATTAGTCGATGTCGTTGATTAGTCAAACGAAAGTTGTCAATCATTTCTTTAATTTCCATATGTCATTCTGTATATATCGCCGATAAGATCTTAAGGAATAATTCGCTAGAAGTTTGATAATTTTGCCTGAGAAATTTGAAAAAAATTTGTTATTGCTGGTTCACATAGAGTTTTTCCTGTTAATAAATAAAAATCAAATGTAGAAATGTTTACGGAGATAAGCGAGCAGCCTTTCACCGTTTCTCGATAGGCTGCTCGGCACGTTGTTCAAAAATTTTTTGCAAAGGAGTCATTTCACTATAGAAATGGAGATAGATAGCCAACCCGATCCGAATTTTTTAAATATTGTAGTTCACGAAAAGCAGAGCTATTGCTTCTCAACGTAAATCTGAACCATTCCAATCCGACTTTATTCGTAACGAAATGAAAAATTGCTTATATTTTGTGGAGAAAGTGATATTCACTAGTAGTTATGTTTTAACTTAGAAAAAGCGGACATCCTAATAATACGAATTATTGTTGATCAAATGTTGATATAAATTTATAAGAAGTTTCCTTCCATCAAACCACACAAATCGAAATAAAATGACGCGTTGCAATCAAATGGCCTGAAAAAAAATACGAATTAAACTAACATGAAAAAGTCGAACGACCTCGTGAAGTTCACTAATAAATCAATTGTATAGCGGTGGTGGTGATGATTTTCTTCTTCAACATTGCTTCCTATCGTTTTAATCTTCGTTCATTTATTGCATTTGCCTGCCACTGGCTGTGATGATTATTCGTCCGACTAATGAAAGTCTTATGATCCACTAATTTATATTTTTAGTATTTTAGTATTCGCGACATATTCCGTAGAATTTTTCGCTTCTAAAATATTCATATTTCTATGCAATTTTCATTAGAGACAAATTAAGAAATTTTTGTGTGGAATAATTATTTGTCGAAAATTATATGAATTTAACGCATCCGCTTTAGCATCTGCTTAAGAGCTTAAATTTCCTCCAATATTCATTCGTCATGCTTATACCAGTAATTTCTTATATTTTGCTTTTTTTGAAATTAAAATATTAATAAAAATTTTATTTCTATCATTCATTCCACTTTTTCATTCCAGAATTAAAGCATATTATTATTTTTATCATTATTATTGCTATCTTTTATCATTATCAGCCATGAATACATTTGTAATGAGTCAATAAAATAAAGAGACTCTTAAGTTATTTTTTATACAATAGACAAGATTTTCAACAATTATTTTCCATTATTTTAGTTTATAAAAATTATATATATAAACTGTTTTCTTTAGATAATTTCCATACTTCCATAAAAAATAGCTATTTTAGAATAATTATTACAGCCCAAAAATTTCTAAAAAACTTAACAAATCAATCGATTTGAAATTAATCTGAAGTTTGTGTTTTGTAAAGAATTTTATGAAAATAGCGAATGAAAGATCCGATTTTACCCAATTTTCGTATAATCCGATTAGAAAATCCCACTTTTACGCTTAATTTAACGCTTCCTTTTTGGATAAAAATGGATTTAAAGGTGGAAACGTTCAAAAACAAAACAATCAAGCCAGTTGAATGGAAGTAAATTTTTTCTTCTAAATAATTATATTTATTCTAAAATTTTCTCATTAGAATTTATTTCAGATAAATAAGGAAGATTATGAAAAAGAACGCTTACGATGGCAACAAAAATTGGATGAAACCGAAAGACGATTAGCTGAAGCTGAAATTTTCAATTCAGAAATGAATCAGATAAAAGCAGAACTTGTATGCAAACTTTTATCTTGTCTTTATCAGTGATTTATCTCCTTTTTAATAGCTTCTCTTTTAATTTTTTTTTCCTTCTAAGCATACTTCACCTTAATGTTTAAATTTCGAATATTATATTTCCACTAATTCGTTGGTGTTCTAATTTTCTAATTTTTTCTACTTGATTTTTTTTTAAAATTTTCATAATATTTCTCGAATATATATTTGTATATTAAATATTTTAATATTAATGAATTGGTTAAGAATAAAAAAATTGTTGAAATGGAACGAAATCAAAAGCCATTAATCGAACAAAATCGTCGATTAAACGAACGAGCGAAATTATTACAAAATGAAATCAAAAAAAGTGAACAAAAATTATCACATTCACAAGACGATTTTCTTACTTTGGTCAGTTATTATGATTTTTTAAAAATTTTTTAAAATTTAATTTATCATTTTATCGTTTTTTTTAAGAAAAATTGCAGTGATTTTCTAGAAATATAAATTAAGACTTTTATTGTCACCGATTTGACCGATAGGGAAAATTTTAGAAAGATGCACATGAAAAACTCTTGAAAGAAAACACGATTTTAAAAGAAAGGCGAGCTTTTCCGGAAAAGATGGAAGAATTGGACCGATACAGAACGCAAGTTCTTGAATATTCCAAGTGTATTACGGCTTTAAGACAAGCTGGCTTGGTACTTTATTTATCCTTGAAACTTTTTTATTTTTTCTAATCTGAAATTAAAAAAACTAAAAAAAGTGCACGAAAAATTTGTTCTCGAAAATTTAAAATAAAGAAAAGATTAGCTTGCGGATCAGAAAATTATCACAAAAATAATGACAATCCCACAGAAAATAAGAATCAAAGGAATCTTTTCGTATATTTAATTTGATTTCCAAAAATTGACTGATAAAACCAATTAATTTGTTTTGCCAA